TAGTATTACCCTGTAGTAAGTAAAGAGCTCCAGAATGTATTCAGGGATAAGATAATGTTAATTGTATTTTACAGCTGCTTCCCCAGTATCTGGCACAGTGCCTGATATTTAGTATAATGCCTAATAACTAGAAAATATATATTGAGAAAATAATTGAGAGAGCAAAAAAAATATCCAAAAACTTCCACGTTGCTCCCCCACTGTATCTGGCAAGCTCCCTGCTCTGTGGCCTCCCCTCCAGCTTCCCTCCCGGTACAGTGGGTGAGAGTCCACAGTCCTGCTAAGGCCGGGTCCTCCACCTGTGTCCTGGATCTCGTCCCCTGTGGCTACTCAGGAACTTAGCTTCCAGATTCAGTGGTGAGGTCTCAGGCCTCATGTTAGCTGATCTGTCAGCATTCTTTGGAAGTCATCACTCCCTGGTTCTCGACCCAGTTACTTTGATTGCCTTCAACACCACTCTCCTGGCTCTTCTCTTACATAATCTTCACTGGAGACTTCTCATCTTTCTGTCCTTAAGTATCCTTGTGCCTCAGGACTTGGTCCTCAGTTTGTCTGACCACATTCGCAGTTGGGGTGATTGCACACTTAATTTACGTTAAGTACGCTGTCATGCTCATACTTGTCTTCAGCCCCAGCCTCTCCTTATGTGCTTATGGACTTCAGACATGCATATCCAAGTGCTGCTTGACATTTCCACTTGGACATCTAATAGGTGTCAAACAGAACTCTTGATTTCCTTCTCTCCTTCCTCTCTGAACTGCTCCTCCCCTGGTCTTCTCTGTTGGTGTAAAAGACTCTAGCATACCATCACTTGAGCTAAAACACATGGAATTTTCCTTAACTGCTCTCTCTCTCTCTCTCATACCCTACACCAAGTCTGATAGTAAATATTATTGATTTTACAGAATGTAAATCACGATGTACCACCTCCTCAAAACAAACCATTTCCTATCTGCATTACTGTAGTGGCCTCCTGACTGGTCTCCTTGCTTCTGTTCTTGTTCCTGACTTCTCTGTCTTGTACATAGCAGCCAGCAAGTCATTAACAACTTCAGTCATATGATGTCACTTCTGTGCTCAGAACCTTCCAGTGGTTTCTTATCACAGTCAGAATAAAATAAAAATTGTGTACCATGGCCTGAAAGGCCTTGTGTGATCCAGCTCTGCCTACCCGTCTGAGTTCATCTCTGTTCTCTCCTCCTTATTCATTACACTTCAGCCTCACCAGTTTCCCTGAATCCAAGCCTTTAACACATACTGATCCTTCTGTCTGGAATGCTTTTCACCCAGATGTGTACAAAGCTTTCTTCCTCTCTTCTTTTAGGTCTCTGATCAGATTTCATCTTGTTAGAGTAGGGAGATGGGAATGCATGTTCCTACTGCTGAGCTCTTTTGAGAAGGTAAACTTTGAACAGAGACCTGAAGGAAGAGAGAAAGCAGGCTACACAGGTCATTATCCACCTAGTCTCTTCAATCAGAGAAATTGGAGTACTAACTAGAAATTTGGAGGTATGAAAAAATCATTAACTTTCTTTTACATTTGTGGTTCTGTTTTAGAAAAGAAGTTCTGGTTTCTGTTACCAGCCATGATGGGTAATAAACTGAAAAAGAGAAAAAGAAAAAAAGAAACCATCCTCAGGCACTGAAAACAGATATTCCTTCAGCAAGGTAAGCCGCTTGAACATCAGGTCTTTCTTTATGGAGACACATTCCAGTCTGTAGTGCATGGAGTGGAATCCCAGAAGCATGAAAGGCAGTCTCACAGAGTTAAAGAGACAGAGACTGGGGGCGCCTGGGTGCCTCAGTGGGTTAAGCCTCTGCCTTCAGCTCAGGCCATCATCTCAGGGTCCTGGGATTGAGCCACCCCGCATGGGGCTCCCTGCTCAGCGGAGAGCATGCTTATCCCTCTCCCACTGCTCCTGCTTGTGTTCCCTCTCTCGCTGTCTCTCTCTCTCTGTCAGATAAATAAATAAAATCTTAAAAAAAAAAAAAAAGGAAAGAAAGAAAAGCCCTGTAATCATCTGCAGGTAATTTAACAGCTTGTCAGTGTAAAGCCAAATGCTCTTCCAAGGAAGACAACAAAGTCTGGATGTTCAACAGCATAACCTAGGAAGTGCCTGTCATTCAGTCAGAAATGACTAACCCACCGAGGCACATGTGATCCATGTCAGGAGAGAGATTAGATAGAAGAAGGTAACCCAGAAATGACAGAGATGATGGAATTAGGAGTTAAGGATTTTATAACAGTTACTGTAAGTATGCACCGTATGTTTATGGATTTAAAGGAAAATGCAAGCTTCATGAAGAAGGAAATGAAAAGATAAAAAGAGGGCCAAATGGAATTTCAAGCATTGAAAAATATAATATCTGAAAGGAAAAATTCACTGGTTAGGGATTAAAATCACAGACAATGCAGAAAAATTATCATGAACCTGAAGCACAGAGAGAAAAAAACATTGGAAAAAAGAAAAATAACTTATCTTTTAGTGATACACATAAAAATGTTTATGGGTGAAATATGATATCTGAGATTAGCTTTAGAATGCTACATGTTGGGGGAAGGGAACTGGGGAAGCCATAGATGACACAAAGATTAGCCATGACTTGCTAATTTTTGAGCATGAGAGATTGGTTTATGGGATTTATTGTACTCTTATCTTGATTTTTGCATATTTCTTAAAATGATTCATAATAAAACGCTTGAAAATTTACCTAAATAAGAAAAAGTAATTAGAATCTTTCTTCCATCCGAAATATACCAGGAAATAGGTCAATGAGAAATAAACCCTTCCTCCTCCCTACTTTTCATCTAAGGGTCTTAAAAACTCAGCTGTGTTTTGATGGGCGGGACCTGGGACCAGGCTATAGACATTGGGTCCTCTGCAGCTGGAGAGAAATGCTTCCTCCTGGAATAGTGCTCTGACATCCAGGAAGAGAAATAGGGGTCAAGAGGAAGTCTGCTTCAGTAAGAGCCATGGACATGGCATAGCTCTCTCACTCAGGGCAAGTGTGGTTGCACTCACCACAGTCTCCTCCCTGGGGGCTGGATGGGGAAATGTGGTGGGTGAGTGATGGGGCCATAAATACTCTTATGTTTTTATCCATAAGCCCAACGTGTGAGTTATGGGTGTTTTGTTTTGTTTTGTTTTAATCTGTGTCGTAGTCAGTTTGGGCTGCTCTAGCAACATACCACAGGCCGAGTGGCTTGTAGACAAGAGAAATTGATTTCTCACAGTTTTGGAGGTTGGAGGTCTGAAATCGGGATGCCAGCGTATTTGGGTTCTGGTGAGAGCCCTCTTGTGGGTTACAGACTGCTTGTTGTACCCTCACATGGCCAAGAGAAAGAGAGAGAGAGAGAGAGAGAGCACACACACGAGTTCTCCCCGAGGCTCTTCTGTAAGGGCACTATCCCATTCATGAGCATTCTGTCCTCATGACCTAATCCCCTCCCCTAGGACCTACCTCCTAAGACCGTCACATCGGGGTTAGGGTTTTCACATATGGATTTGGGGCCGTACAAACTTTCCATCCCCTGCAGTGTTAGGATTAGGGTAGATCCTGAACTGTGAAAGTCAGGCCACCAGAAGTCACTCCGCCACAGGCTTTAATGTCTCCTTACAACTTTAGTGCCAGTGACTTTCCTAAGTGAGCCTCTGGTCAGAGACTGGCTGGTTGATGAAAAGCCTGTGGGAAGCATGCTCTCCTGCTTCTTTCCTCTGGATCAAACCATCCTTCTCATCTCCCTCTTCCTATTTAGAGACCCACCTCAGAGACCATAGGCCCCCTTGCTCTCAGCTTGGGCATCTAGGATGTTCTCACACGGTTCAACCGTTGTGGCTCTCTTAGGCTCTCTCATTTAACTGCAGTGGGCCATGTGTTGTGCCATTTTCGAGTACTTGTTCTTTTGTGATTTTGTTGCTTGATGGCACAGACACTGTGACCCTGTGTACATTTTGACTCAGTGCTCAGTGTTTATTAACATAAACCTAGTGAAAATTATACCATTATTGAATTTTTGTGAAGAAAGCAAAATCTGAGGTACGTACCATTAGGGCAGTTTAATTAGTAGAGTACATCTTGATACTCCAGAATTAACATTTTTCAGTTCTCTTTTCAGTTTTGTTTTGTTCAAAACATTCTCATCACATTCATATCTTTTTGGTGTACATATTGTAATCTATTGATCAGGTTTTAGTTATGTGCAGTGTCACCAATGTTAACTTATACAGTTTTTCATTTTTTTCCCACCAAGTCTGATTTTTTCCTACCAAATAGTTTTGCAGTTTTTAGTTTTAGAAAAGCCTGTATCCCATTTTGCCTGTACAGTTTTAGCTTTTACCATTTTAGTTTATCTTGTTTGTTCCTCTTCATAATAGTTCTTATAAAGTGGATAAAAGAGGGATGTTCTTTCTTAGCTAGACAGTGGGGAAATCGGGAAAATTTCCTCGGCACTTGTAGTGGCAGACTTTGGCCGCATAGAGCATTACCACAAAAAGGAATGTCACGGCTTCATGGTGTTCCTTAACACAAATAATGAGAAAGTGTAGCTCCCCTAGCTTCTTAGATTTCTGTTTATCATCTACATTCTACTATACATTAGTATTCAGTGATAAAAAATATCATTTAAGCTATGCAATTTTATACTGTTTTCTGGAAGCAGACCTTGATTTCCTAAGGCCTCTGGTAGACTGTAGTTAAATGATCAAAATATGTTTTCCCATGCAAGGCTGCCTTACAAACATTTTCAATACATGTGTAATGGAAAGCACATAGCAAATTTCCTCCAAACATCTCCTTCCAAAATTGGGATTCCTGTTAAAGGCCCATGCCTCGGATACACCAGCATATGTAGAAGCTGACTCTGCCTTCTCTGTTGGTCATCTGCTCACCATTTTGACTGCCAGAGTGTGCTCAAGAGGAGATGGAGAGGTTCAGAAATCAGAGTTTAATTATGTCCTATTATTAGTAGGGGAGGAGAGAATAAAGGACAGAGTGCTTACCTAAGACCCACTTCATGATGAGCATTTCTGTCCAGGAGAATTGTGTGGTTTTCACTCTGAAGATCTGTTTCGGGTGGTCTGTGAAGGTTTCGTTGGGCAGGTTTTTAACGCCTTCAAAGCGGTCTGATGCATTCACAACTAGCAATCCCAAAAAGATTGTAAAAGAAACTGCATGGGCGACAAATTTCATGAAGGGGCTCCTCAGGGTTCTTCCTAGCTGGAAACAAAATATGTAGAAGACATATTAAACTGGCATCTGTAGGTGGGGACAGGTCTCTCTTTAAAATGCTTTGCCAAAGTTTAACGAGAGAATCCATCACGGACAGAAGCTGCTAACTGAACTCAGACAACCTGTTCTCTTGCCCTTTCATGTGAGTGGCTCCTTAACCAGGTACATCTCCTGTTGAATTCAGTTATTCCCATTTAGGAATTTCGTGGGAGTGGTATAAACAGGAGTAGAATACACTGATGTATTACCGTGCTGTGACCTGCACGACTTTTCCCAGCCATGTGATAGGTGTCTTAGGCCATTCACATCTGGAAAAAGAATAGTCTCAGTAGAGTTCAGAATTTAAAAAAAAACACATGTTGGCTATGCTCTATTGCTCTTTGGTCCATTTTCCTGAGTTTTGTTTTTTCTATGATTTGTTTTCATTATTTCTTATATGTTGGTAAATTAAAGCTTTACAGTTCCCTCTGCTTTAGCCATATTCCAAGAAATTTTGACAGGTGATATATTCATTGATGTTCAGTTATCAATATTTTACAGTTTCCCTTTGGATTTCATTTTTAAATCACAGGTTAATGTCCAGATGTAGAGGACTTTTTCCTCATACTTTGAAAAATTCCTTTTTCGTTGCTGCATGTGTGTAGATCATAGCCTCTTTGATACTACTCTGAAACTTACTGAGGTTTCCCTTGTGGCTCTGGTGCATAATTGACTTGTGTGGTTGTTCTGTGTGAGCCTGAAATGATCCAGAAGATGCCCCGTTAGGGAGCAAGTATTAGCCATATCTTCTTTGGCCCTGGTGTGCCATCCCAAGGCTACCTTGGTCTTTGAGGACTAAACTGTGGGCCATCCAATGAGTCTTTTGACCCTTGTTAATGAGCTCATATGAGTCCCTTCTAGGACACAGCTATCACTTGCACCTAGGCACCAAATTCTACCCCTCACCCTGGTACACTAATCAGAAGAGAGCAGAGGGAAACCTTTTCTGAAGCCCAGAAAAGTTCCTTCTCTAGAGCAGATGTTCACCTGTAGCCACTGTCTGGTTAATTGATGTTCACATTCGGCCTCATTCAGGAGTCCTAGAGTGAAATGTCATTTAGTAGGTGATCAATTTACAGGGATTTTTGCAGGTAAAATTTCCCTAATTATGACTGTATTCAATGTAATATTTATATGTCCAATGCTTGATAATGTTCTTTGAATATGCTTCAGCATGGTAATCGTCCACTTTAATTATACTGATTGTTAGTGTAACATGGTTTATTATGATTCTAATACCGTAGAACCTATTGAAATTAAAAAAGTGATAATTAAATGTATATGTATATATCTATATACATATATATATATTTTCAAAAACCCAACATCTCAGGTCTAGACATTAGGAATCCCTACTATGCTGGAAAAAACTCATTTCAGTTCATTTGCATTGTTAGATGTCATATGGCACTAAAGCTAGTGCCCCAAATCCTGAAATTCTAGTTACCTGAAAACCATGGAGCCTACAGACATTTTATAAATGGCCCTTCTTTGTGATGTTTGACTTCATTATCTACAAAATTGGATCATAGATTCATTCTGGCCATAGGTAGATACATTAAATTCAGAATGCACAGGTCAAATGTAAGGACAAATAAAACATCTCACATAAATTAAGTAAGAAAACTGAATTCAACCATGTCTCATTTTGATTTATATATCAAACTGTTAGTTTGAATTTTTCAACATTTTAGATGACTGCGTTTGAATCTTGAAGCCCCATTTCCCAGCCAGGTTGCTGGTGTACCCAGGAGACATCCTTAAATAGTCCCTGCTTCCTGTCTCGTCACCGTGTCCTAGTTGGGGTAGTGGTGAGAGGCGAGGGAAGGTGGAACTGACCATGGGTTGGGGAGTCGGGAAGGCTGAGCAGAAGGAAAGGGATGTCAGATCTTGTGTATCCCAGCAGAGTCCCACAATTGTCAGAAAAAGCTGGGGACCATGGAGATGGACCCAAATCTTAAGGGACTGGTGGCCGGGTTTCCCGTCCTTTATCAGTGAGCTCTACGTAGTATCTTCTGATGACAACCTGGGTGAGGATACGGGGACACTGCTCCTCCTCCTCACCCACAGGAGGCAGCTGATGCAGCTGAACCTGAGCTGGCCTTGGGATTCCCCAGAAGATGTGGTTTGAGGCATTTACTGTTCTCTGTTACCTCCTTCAAGTTGTTATTGTCTGGCAGAAGTGGAGTCTGTAAAAATTACTGTATCTACTGCAGAGGTACCACAAAACCCTGATAAGGCCCTATGGTCCCGTGGAAAGTGACCCTGGGTTCAGTTCCCACTTGATCTGGGCCTTAGGGAGGAAAGCGAGGTTAGGTAGTAGTGCGCCTTTCTTCCTCTTCTTCTGGGCTTGAAGATTCCTTTTTTTTTTTAAATCATTATTATTTATTACGTTAGGTTAGTCACCATACAGTATGTCATTAGTTTTTGATGTAGTGTTCCAAGACTTCTTTTTAATTGGTCAAACTTGGACAAAGTTCATTTGAGATCAAATCATTTCAATGGCTTTCTTTCTTTTCTTTTCCCTTTTTTTGGGGGGGGGTGATATTTCCTTTTTGTCTCACAAAAATAATTTTTGAAACAAATTACACCCGCGGAAAACTTCCTTCTTTTACAAGGCCACCAGGTAAGCTAAAAGAAAGGAGAAAAGTCAGCCAATATATGCCAGCAGCTCTTAGCTGGGGAATCACTAAAGCTGGGTCAAGGAACAACGTTCAGTGTAAAAAAAGACAGTAGAGCTTTGGGAGATGTAGACCTTGGCCTGCTCTGCTCTTTGCTCACCAGTGCAAAACTGGTGAGTCTGGACAATGGGCTAAAGCACTTCCGTCATTCCTTGGACCGTATGAGCAGAGAACTGGTTATCTAGAAATGCAGGCTTGTAGTACCTCAGTGTCTAGCTCACCCCAAACCTCCTGGGAAATATGTGAATATGACAGCAACTAAGTAGTGCTCTTGAATTAGCTGTAAACAAATAGATCAGAGGTGACCTTTTACTGGTTAGCACACCTCTGTGTTTCCTGCTGCTGGGCTCTTAGCCCTTACCATGAGTGTAAGCTTCTAAATGGGGACCTGGTGGCTGCATGCCTGTGAGGTAGGTCGTATCTGCAGGAGAGCACCCAGAGAGTGTTTCCACCCTGTCTCCGCAGTCTCGTATCCCCAGATGCCACCCTCACTTGCCACCAGGTGCCAGTGGCCTCGAGGAAGGGCTCAGTGTAGAAGTTGGAAAGTGGAACGGCGGCAAGCTTTGGATCAGGTGCTCCAAGAAAAAAACATGCACATCGTCAAGGCCAGAGTGGTTCTTAAATGTTAGAGATCCTGGTTAAATTAGGGGTGGGTTTCACCGTATGCTTCCTGTAAAATTCTTACTCGAAATGTCTAATGTAGGGCTCAGCGATATTCCGTTCTTTAAGGCAGGAGGATGTTCACTGGGTGTCTCTAATCTGGGCGTTCTCACATTGCCATGGGAATCCATCCTTTGTCCCATGGGCTGAAGAGGTGCTAAGTGATAGTGGACACTTGAAGGTAGGGTTTCTCGGGAAAGAATACAGTTTGTCAGTCTTGTTTTTGACTCCTCCTTTCTGGGAAAGTCCTGCCACCTCTAAATTTCTGAACCAAGTCCATTGCAAAGTGAAGTAGTCAGCAGTTAAGATGCTTACATTCAGCATTGAAGGTTATAATGCTGCTGATGGATTAGAAAGGGTAGAAGGGCAGGTGTGCATGCATGTGTGTGTGTGTATGCGTGTGCACGTGTACACACGCTTGTACAATGGTTAAGGTCAGGTCTCTTGAGCTAGAGATCTTGGGTTTAAATCACAGTTCCATAGTTTGTGGCATTTAGTCCCTTTATGTCTTATTTTCTTCATCTGTAAAATGGGGATAAAATATAACTTTTCACATAGGGTTGATGAAAGAAATGAATAATATGCATAAAACAGCAGCTCCTGGCACACAGGAAGCACTTACTATGTGGCACCAGAGAGCCTCAGACAATATTCCTAAGGGGGAACATAAAAGAAACCCACCTGGCTCTTTTAAAGCTAATAGGCAAGGCTCTGGAAAGTTGGAGCTACACAGAGTCCTAATGCACTTCTGCCGTGAGCCTTTGGGGTGCTGTCTGTATGCACCATGATCCTGGGCCCTGGAGGGGATAGAATAAATAAGCCGGCAGAGTTGGTCCTTTCAAAGTTGCTGATTTTCTGGTGGAGAGAGATGCAGGCCATCGCCTGTGCTAGGAAATCGATGGAGAGTTGGGGAGAGAATGTCACAGTGCTTAGACTGGGCTCCGATAGAAGCAATCAGCCTTCTAGTACTCCTAACTCCTGTCCCAGCAGGGTGGCAGGTGATGGACTTTCCTTTTGGATTTGAGGGCAGATGCTTTTGTTAACATAAGAGCAAAATATGCTCTATTTCCTGTCATGAATTTCCCCTCCATGACTATGCTTCAAAAATTACAGCATGATTGTATTTAATCTTGTGCTCTCTGGTAGAAGCAGATGAGGGGGACACACAGGCCTTTGGAGGCATTGTCTTCTCCTGGTCGGCCTTGGATTGCATGGTGTGAGGACCCTTGTTTCAAATCATTTCAACTCTGACAAGGCAAAGCAGGGATCTTCCAAAGCTGCAGAGTTCCTCTACCTCCTCATGAGGTGTTTTGTTTGGCACAGGGCTTAGGGGCTGGGGTGTGGTAACTGACACTTTGGCATTCTTCATCTGAGAGTTATGTGGCCGTATATGAACTGAGGGCTTGTACCCTGCAAAGATACCAGGTAGTAGGCTGAAGCTATTTACAGCTCTCCCTGCCTGAGTCCTGGGACTGAGTTATAAGGATAATTGAGCCATCAAGGTTAATGTCATGGAGGAAATCAGTTTCACCTCTCACACCTTTATAATTAGAATTTGTGTTGTTGCTCAATACTTTTACCATGCTGACTTCCTCCTTGATCCGACCCACTGTAGAGACCCCATTTGAGCCCATAAGGATTGCTATTAACTCTTTCAGGTCTCAGATTTTAATAGGCAAACAACCTAAAGTATGAATCAGAATGGAATAACAAAGGGTGCAAAAGGGCATTGAGCCATAAAGGTCCTTTGACATCAGAGCTCTCCTTGAGAGGATAAAGAGCTCTGTGGGTAAAGATCTACCTGATAGCAGCCATGAGGAGAGAACTCACCAGCTTCCCAGTGGGCTGCATGACCTCAGCCATGTTGAGAAATAATAGAAAAATATCACTGTTCACTTTATAGACCTTGACAGGCCTGTTCCAAGAGCCAGACCAGCCTTTGTTATCTTATGTACACATGTATGACTTGGATACCCTCTTCAGCCACCGTATTAGTAAGCTGTCAACTTCTGTTGACATCCTTGACCTTATCCTCTCCTTATTTAGCTGTCTTTCTCAGGGACCCTCAGAAATTTAAATAAAAGTAGAATTGACAGCTATGGGGATTCAACGGGAAATAAACGACATCATTTTGGCAGGCCAATCAAGTAATTTTGGTCTTTCTAGGGGTCCCTAAATCAGGAGAACAACTATTCAATAAGTGGACCATTAAGTTGGAAACAGAAACTTCAACATTTGTTAGACATTGTTGGATGTTAGCTGGTTGATGATGTTTTTATGAAAACATTAAGAAAAGAATATCAAGTTCTACTTTCTTTGAGGCAGGTGTCATAAGGTGGTTAGAATATGAAGCTCCTGGGATGACACTGGCTTTTTCATAGTTGTATTACACAGGTATAAAGTGATCCCTTGGGAGAAGGGAGGCTAGCACATTAACAGATTTCTCTACTGTGCCCCTTTCCTTGGGAGGACCTTGTATTCTGGGCCTCAGGAGCCTTTGGAGAGGGGTAGTTTCTTCACATGGAAGATGTGACCCTTTATAATCCCCAGTATATAATATCTTTGCCAAACTTGAAAAGATTTCTTTTGTAGTGGTGAAAGGAAAGACTAAAAATATCTTGGCTGTTTTTATCTGTCCTGTGGCTGCTTCAGAGCAACTTTGACAACTAAAGTTTCCCTCCTTAAGGAGGGAATCTTCCCTCAGAATAAGCAGTGCCACCAAGAATGATCTCATGCCATAGACTAAGACTTGTCATTCCAACGTGGACATACCCTCCAATGTGTTGAACTCAGACTTACAGCCTAAAAAGTACTCAGAAGGCACAAGCGGCTTAATGGCCAGCCTATATTTATCTGTAGTGCTCTTTTTAACTTTTTTACTGGGAGCTCTGTGAGCACCAAATGTCAAAAAGACATATATCTGAACAGAGGAGAGGAAATCTCAGCCATTGGGCTAAATGTTCTTGCAAACATTTCTTCCAGAATGTTCTAAAAGACTACTGTCAGTGTGACCCCTATGTTTCATGGTGGCATCAGTCTCCTGGATTTACTGGACCCCAAGAAAGTCCTCCCTCCCCCTCCCATGCAATTTTTTGGGGGGGGGTGCCATCACATCTGCATGATAGTGGCCAAGATGATTCTTCTTAGAACTACTGAAAATCTGAAAAATTTAGTCAACAACTGGAATATCATTTCTTCCTGAATATTTCCCTAGGCGACCAGGCAGGCGGAGGTAAACCAGTTTGCTGGTATTGGCTAGTCCCACTTTTCTGGTAGCTGTCACATTTGGTTTTAAAAACAAAAGTGAGGATTGTCATTGTTTTCTCTACCAAGTGGCTATTATTTTAATGAGTGACTGTCCTAAAAGTAGTTTGGGGCTCCTAGAGTATGGAGGTGAGTGTCCCTATCCATTGAGACTTTGGATGAAGTCAAGGACGTATTTCCAGTGTGAAAACCTGTGCCTAGAACCAGTGACCTGCTCTAACCCAGCTTTAAATCTGGTTAGGCTTGTTTTACTCACTGTACTTTCTTCAGCTCATAATGAAAGACAGAAAAAATTGCCTTCATTTACATGTGTATCATTTGGGGAATTCTGATTTAGAAATCCATGGCATGGCAGACTGTCAAAGAAACAAAATCTTCAGTAGATGTAAAGTTGAACACCACAAATACTGTTTGAGGACTTTTTAAGACCCATTTTACATAAGGAGTCCTAACCTGTCTCTATGGTACACATCTTACTCGAAGGCAGTGAATTCACTGCGTTTTCTGGTAAGGTGGCCTCGTCAGCAGCCCTCAGGTCTTGGGCCCATCATTCTGGCATGAGTTCCCTCTTACTGGAGTTGGCAAGAGGTTCTATTTTTGTTAACCACATTAGCTGACCAGATTCCCTGTGGAATCATTTCTCCATGATTTTGTCCTATAGTTGCTAACTCTTGCCTGAAGCTGGAGAGAGTGCCATGGCTTTCTGTGGCTTCAATCAGATGGCTGGGCTGTAGGGACGGTGGAGCGGGAAGTGGGGAAAGTTCAGTTCCCTCTGTTAGCAGCAGGCAACAGACACTCCCCTTCCCTGTGAGAAAAGAGCCCAGCTCTGCACCTTTCCAGCTCTCCCTCTCTTTCCTTTGTCTTTTCCTTCTTGCGACCCAGTTAGCTGCCCGTGTGGGCCAGAGCCTAATCAAGGAAGCCAGGGAAACTGGGACGATGTGGAGATGGGGCTGCAGAGCCCAGCATGAGCTGCATTTGACTCTCAGTCTATTAGCTATTTCTCTTTTCTGAACCTACTTCATAAAGTATATGCGTCATAATGTAATTGGGGGAGTGAAATCAGATCTTCCATGAGAAGGGGTTAGCCAAAAGAAAGTGCTCAATAATGTCGCCTATTCCTGTGATCATTATCGTGGTGATTACTGTGAGTGTAGAGGACATGTCTAGGATATGGCATAATTAGAGGAGCAAAAGTGCCCGTATTTCCTCTCTCTTCCTTTACTGATCAGATTATGCCTCATGTATCTTAAATGTCCCAGATTATCACTTCTCTCTGTTTTAGAGAAATAATGGAAAAAAGCAGGTCTGTGTGGTTTCCTACTTTTGCTAAGTATCTCAAAACTCTTTTCTCTGGACACGGGAAACACTCAGCTGTTGCTCTGAGCCAGTGGTCTCCAGGTCATGCTAAGGAGAGAGAAGCAGTCACCGCAGACGACATGCACCTTAAGCAGTCTGTACCTTGCTGCACGGAGCAATCCAATAGGCTATGGCGAGAAAAGGGAGGCCTAGGGAGACTCCAAAGACAGCCAGGAATTTCACAGCGATAGACTGTTGACGTAAGCCTGAGAGATTTTCATACCACATGGTAAGCAATTGCTGCTGACAGTTAGGATGAGCAACGAACTGTAAAAACAAAACAAAAACAAAAACAAAACGCAAACAGGAAAATGGCATCGGTAGCACTCGAACAGTAGAGGACCTCCAAGTAGCTAGGGGCCGAGCTGTTTTACCTGGGGCATGGCCTGATGCTAGGGCAGAGCATCACTTAGGTCCCCGGGGGGCACCCTTCTGGCCTGAGGACGCTGGGTGTGGTGGCACTGTGCTCAGAGGCCTCCCAGGACTGGCTGCATCAGTGCTTGGCACTTATCTTGGGCAGAGTTCAGTTTCGAGGCAGCGTGAGTCATGAGTGGAGCAGGAATGGGGTTCTGGAGTCCCACTTGGGTTTGAAATTTGCTCCTCTGTTTCCTAGCCACGTGACCTTGGGCCACGTACGTAACTACTGTGAGCTTCGGTCTCGTTCGTGAAACAGCCTGTTGTCTTTAGGATTAAGTGAGTTTGTAGAAGTGTTTCCCTCTCTTTTCCTGTACTGGCTAAGGAAAGGGCTTGCCGTGTTTCTAGAGGGCACGTTAAAACTGATTATTTCCCCAGTGGGCTTCTGTGGGGTCGGCTTGGGTGCATAGAACCTCTTGTGGCCTGCCAGAGCACTGACACGCAGTGTCCCTCGTGCGGCAGCTTCTCCCTGCTGCTTCCCTCCCTTCAGACTGCGCTGTCCTGATGTCCCAGTTACAAGACAGACCTCGGCTGGCCGTTTGGTATTGAGTGACCTCACCCCTTCTGGATATCCCTTGTGGGGCTGGGCAGAGAACCCTGACTTAAACTGGCCTATCAGTCCCCTCACCTGGGCCTTTGAGACTGATGGATGGAGACAGTTTCTTTATTTACCAGGAGTTAACAAGTGATCTTGGGAGAGGTGGGTAGCCATGTTCCTCTGTGGACTAAGTGGCAAAAGAGCCAGGTAAAAAGAAAGAAGAATGATGTTGGGCAGGAAAGAGGCTCAGATAGCGTGTGCCCTCCCTTGGGCCTGGCTCCACTCCGCCCACGTGGTACGTGAGACGCACTTCTGTTCATGCAGGGGTCTTCCTTGTTCTGCTCTGTCCGGCAGGTTGGCTTGGGCTGCTGCAGCCGAACAGCCTTTCCCTGCAGATATTTGCTGCCGTTTGGCCACGTGTTTAGTTGATTTTGAGTCTTGGTCAGTGGAAATGGGCAATAGGCAATATTTAAGTGAAATTTATGGGAATGAAGTTGACATTTTTACTCATTACTTTATTTTGCCCCTGAGATGGGAGGAAGCCATTGAATGCTTTTGGTAGCCCTGCTCTTTGGCCCTGCTCAGGATGGCCCTGCATCCACAGACTGGAGCAGACATGCTGGGCATTCTTCAAAGGGTCTGACTTTTCCTCTGATTACCCTGGAGCATAATATGCCAATTTTCATCCCATTTGCTCATTGGTATTGTGGGGACATGTGCAGTGGCATTAAGGGGACATGAGCAATGATTAGGAGGAAATGTAAAAACATTTCCTTTTCATTGTAAGAATAGTGTAAATACCGTTTTAAAACATTCCCAGTGCAAATTGCAGCATGTTCTTATTTCCAGTTTTTGGGAACTCAAGGCAGCAGCCAGGTCATGTGTGAAGACACTATCAAAGTTTTATGTGGCCACGCGGCAACCCCTGATGATACCAGTCCTCAGACATTAGTGACAGTGAAGCCTTTTTGGTAGCATTATTGGACCCAAAGCAAGCACTGTGGTCTTTCCCTCTAAGGACGAGTGCTATGGATCCTCCTCAGCCTAGGGTGAGACTCGCCAGGCCAGCAGGTGACAGGATTTGCTCTGCCCGTCTTGACTCACAGCAGAGTAGAGCAAGCTACAGAAACCCACGTGGGTGTTTTAGTAATGGCCAGCTTTCTGGGAGCTGAGGCCCCTCAGAGGGATGGGGGGTGGGAAAGGGAGACATCCAGTTTTGTTTTTTTGATAGCCCGCCTTCTCTGGGTGCTGAAAGGGATCTGCTCTGGAGAAACTCACAGTCTGATTAGAAGGTGGGACGTCTGCTCCTGAACTAGCACAAGACCATTTGGCTCACCCCGTGGCTCCTTGTGCTGTAGCTGCTCTGGAAGGACTCCAGGGCTGAGCCCCTTTGTTGGTCTCTCTGTATCCTGGGAGAGAGTCAGCCCAAGCTTTTACTCCTGTCTCCTACAGATAAGTCGGCACAATAGATTCAGCAGTGGGGCTAGAGGGGAAGAAATGCTGAGGCAGAACACAATGGGGGCCATTTCCTCTCTCTCTTCCCTGCCTCAGAGGAAGACAGTGGTCACAACTAAAACAAGGGGTCTCTCTTGAGTCTTCTTCTGATTAGACATGTGTTAATTTTTATAGCCGCAGTTCTTCCCCCATAATAAAACAATCCAGCTCCAAACACGATATTAATTTACAGACAGATTTTATAGTGTTTGGCTCCCAGAAAGCTGGCAGCAACTAACAGCTGAAGCTCAGATTATTTATCTTTATATGGGCACTTTTCTATCCTTGTGGTAGGCTTTGGAAATTCAGTGTGTAGCAAAGGAGTTTTTCCACTGTGCTTTTGAAGCACAGAGATATCATCTGTGATCGCAGGAAGACGAGAGCACCATGAGGATGCCATCAGGACACAACAGTCTAACCAAAAGGACACTCAGCTAGGAACAAAGACAGGAACAATTCCTGCAGGGTGAGGTGGGGGGTGAGGAGGTGAATAGGGGAAGGATTTTCAGAAGTAGGGTCAGAAAGGAGTGGACGAAAGAAAAGCCCACAGCTAGACTAGAATGGGAACACAGGAAATCAGTGTTGTCCTGAGTTTGCTTTCTGTGGCATCTGGCTCACAAGAGGATGGATGACACCAAGGGCTTTGCCCAGGCCATTCTCACCCCAAACCATCATGGTCTGAGTGTGGTACACTTTTTATGGAGGTTCTTCACAGAAAGAACTGATGAGAACACCTCAGTTTTCTCAGCAGTGTGATTCCCACTCTTCATGGCAGGGAGTTCCTGATGGCCTGGGGCTGAGAATCTGTTATGGTGGGCTTACGTGAAGCTGAGCGGCCTCTTCAGAGAAAATCAGTCCAGCACGTCCATGACCAGACATGTGTAGAAAAAAATAAATCCAGCCACCTGGTGGACTGGGCAGAGAACTGGGGCAGGAGGGGGAAGATGAGGCAAGTAAAGCTGCAGGCTAAGTGGGAGCTCTGAGCCAGAGCTCATCTACCATGGACAAGGAGATGGCTGGAAAACAGGAACCGAGAGTCAGGAGGGACTAGCAATCATGTGGCTGCCGGTTTTTGAGTCCATGTCATGCCAGTTATCCTAGTGGCTCATTTGACCAGCATTCATGGTTCATATAACAAGTTATACCCAAAGCTACTTTTCTGTTAAGATGTCACCTAAGCATCTTATTCCTTCTAGCCCTGGTGACATAGTGAGACGACAGTGCTGGCATACTGGTTCAGTCTTGGCTGTTATTCTGCTTTTATTTGATCTGTGGGCTGTACTTTTCCTTTTGTAGCCCAAAGGAGAACCATTCCCTTTACTGTCTCCCTGCTTTATATTCACTCACAAGGAAATAGCTCATGTTGTAAGAGTATATAGTTGTTTTAAGAGATCCAAACATTCCTTAACTAACTAACTAAACTAATTATTTTTAGGGCTGTCTCATGGCATGCTTGTGCCCTTGGGCCAGATACTTCGATCACAACAGGGTCGAAGACTTTCCTCATGTAGGGTGGGTAAGGGCATGGACTGGTACCTGGCTTCCTGGGTTCAAGTCCCGGTCCTTCCACTTGCTGGCCCTATGCTCTCAAGTCATTGCCTTAGCTTCCCTCTTCTGGAAATGAAGCTGATCATGAGGATTAAGTAAGTTAGTATATGTAAAGTGCTTAGAATAGTACCTGGTAAATAGTAAGCACTGTATTAGTATGCCATAAATAAAAGTAAGCCCATGACTCTGCTTTCCTTGCCCATTTTCTCTGTCCCTCTTCCTCTGTTTCTCTCTTCCTTTCTCCTACTCTCTACAGCTCTCCCTCACTCTCCTGTCTTTATTCTTGTCTGCACCTGGTGTGAGCAGACAGATTCTTGAAATGTTGGTATTTCTGCAAAGGGCCATGTCCTCTCACATGGGTGAAGCCACTCCCTCTCTAGCCAGTCCCTCCTGCCCCACCCTCCACTGAAAGCGCAGCTTGATTTATCCTTGCAATTAGCTCCAAATGGGCTGGTCTCTGCTGGGTAGGTAGGGTCACTATCAAGTGTATTCTGCACCCTGATACCCATCTACCAGTTGTAGAGCTCTCCATCCCTGAGGCACTCCCTCCTTAGTGCCCCTCCTCTCTACTGCCTTAAAAGCTTTTCAGTCCTGCATTTTGCACTTTTCACACGGAGGAATAGAGGACTACATTTGAGCTCAGAGGCTTTGAGACTGTGTGATTTCCATATCCTTTAAGCACAGGTTTTTCCCTCGGACACCAAGTTCATTTATAGAGTGATGAGATATGGGAAGGCATCATTTGATAAGCTGAAGAATAACTTAGCTAAAACAAAATTTATAAAATCCAGTGCCTATAGATAAAAGGACTTTCTTTTATACAGATAAACCATCAGAGGGCCCAGTGATGGCTGATATGACTGTTCAAGATTTCCCACTTAGCTCAACACTGGCATTTGCTGATAGAAACCTGTTTTCCCTGGAAACTGTCTATGTACACAAAGGGAGACAGACACTGTCTCAAGCTATAGTCACCAAGTGGCTTTTCTTAGTGTGGACCATCCATGGGAATTAGAATAATTCTGTGGTGCCATTTTTTGTTTGGAGCATCTCGTGGGATTGGGTTCAGTGGTGCTAATGTTTTTCCTTCCCATTCTATCTTGGTAAAGCTCTCAAGTCTGGGAAGTTGAGGAGGGAAGAAGAGAAATGGAAGTGTCAGTCGTTGACTGGTGGGTCATTTGTTTGTTCATTCACTTTGCAAACTTGTCCTTGGTGCTCCCTCTCACTGGGCACTGTGGCTACAAGCACTGGAAGTACAGAGAGAGCTTGCACT